TTGATTTTTTTTACTCTTGAAGCACTGCATCCAGCCCAAAGAGAGACCAAACAAATCCATATTTGCATGGTAAGCCATATTCAAATAATTCGTGGTATCCTGGGTACATAACTATTGTTTCAGTTGACAAACACAAGAGGAACATTTGAACAGGTGGCTGGAGGCAAAGCACTGACTTGAGCACACACACACTCACACACACGCACACACAAAGGTGGACAGACAGGTGTAGCTGCCCTATCCATTCGCCAGCTGTTGGGTATTATGCAAACGAGGTGTTGAATTACAGAGCAAACAGAGAGCCTAAAGGAAGAAACAGGCAGAGTGATGGACAGGATGTTGGTTTGGAGCATTTACAGTTAAGTTATAAAGTGTTACCCAGAACAGTTTCACATGTCAATACGGTGACAACAATAACAAGAACACAATCATTTCCCATCACTCTGAATCACACTCATTCGGCTCTTGGTGTGAACACTTTCAGTAAGAAAGAGAGGAAGGGAGGAGGAGAACGAAGGATCTCAGTGTCAAATAACTTTCTTCCGTTTACTGTACCTTCGACAGAAAACGGCAATAACAGCAGGTCTGACAGGCAAAGACTGAAGCTGTTGGACTGTAGAGCAACCATTTAAAATACAATACACATAAAACTCCCATGAATCCCTCTTATAATAAAAGCTAAGGAACGCATAGTTTTTGTATTACAATTGTTCAGGAAAATGAAGATCTAAAAGTTGTTATAATCATAGTTTGTACTTATTTTAGATGCATTATGTTGCACCTATCTTGTATGAGGGGAGTGGCAGCCTAGTGGTCATGGCATAGGGCTTTGAATCATGAGGTTGTGAGTTAGATCCCCCACTCCCACAGACTGCCACTCTGGCTCACTGAGCAAGACCCTTAACCCCACACTGCTCCCCGGGCGCCGCACAATGGCAGCCCACTGCTCCCCAAGGGGATGGGTTAAATGCAGAGAATTAATTTCGTTGCTCTGTGCTTGTGTCTAAAATGTAAGCAACTTTAAAAACGCTGAGGAAAGCTGCAGCTTTAATGATAAACATGGGATTCTCATGGTTTTATAACTTTGAAATTACCGCGTTAACATATCTTAGCAAAAATTTGAAAAATATATTTTCAAAAGGATTAGAAGTAGATCACAGAAAAAGGTATGTTTGAAGAGGAATTAAATAAGGTAGAGCTTGTTAAAAACGCTTATAAATTCCAAGCTGTAGCTTTAAAATGTGTTGGTAGATGTGATTGGGAATTAGTCTTTCCTGTATGCAGAAGTGTGCAGCAACAGATGGAGGAGGGGCGGGACTGTGTTACATGTTATATAGCAAAGGGACCACTTTGATCCCTCCGGCATCTCAATAAACAACTTGAAACCATAGTAGTGTGATGGGAATGTTTTCTAGAGCAGGACAATTAATAACATTTGAAACAGATCTGATATATATAAATATTCATATATAAAAATGCAACTTCTGAATCGTAGAGACACTTTTTGGTCAGGTAACATTTTACTATAGTAACACACTGATTTAGGGCTCCCACTAACGATTACCGATTAATCTGTTGATTTTTTTTTTCAAATAATCAATTATTAGTCGGATAGCCACAGATTCCTTAAAGGCGACTTTTTACGAAATTAAATCAGGTGAAACTAAAACTTTTCATATTTTTTTTATTACAATTTTTATTATTACTGCTCTAAGTGGGTCCCTCTGTCAGCTAAAGGTATGTTTTAGAGTCTCTAAACTCCAGTTAACGATTAATAAATTACTAAATTAGTTGACGATTATTTCAATAATCAGTTAATTGTGATTAATCACATTCATTATTTCAGCATTGCACTAATTTCCTGACTTACTACATTGCAGAGTTAAAGCTTAACATATGTTTGCCACAGAGTGGAAGAGAGTTGCAGCACAGATCCATGTATGCAGGCTGGAGGTTAGCATTCTTGAGGTGACAATGTACCCTGACAAGGGAGCATTTGATTCCAGAGAAACAATACAACTCTGGAGCCATACATGTATACACTTCTGGTTAGTGCAAAGGAAACTTGAAAAAAATGTGTTCATAATTATTTTTTTTAAACTTTTTAATACCTGAATACGTATAATAACCTATATGCATATCAGCCATTGGCTCATGCTTATCATCTCAGATTTAGTTGGCGCCCCTCCTTCCTTCTGTTACGTAGCTGGTAACAGAATGTGCTCTATAAGAACCTGGAGTCCAGTACAACCAGAAAAAGCACATGCCCAAACAGTTTTTCTGAACCAGTTCAACTTGCTCCTGATTGGGGTCAAAACTTAGCCCATAAATTTAGAACCAAAAATGTGAACCTTTTGGGGACAAACTGAACCAGAAGCAGATAGTGACAAACATGCGTTGAGCTTTTTCAATAAAAGCTTAGAACTGGATAAAACTAGCTCTATATAATAACAAACATCATTATTATCATAAACTCACTGCTTTCTTTCAAATTACAGAGAGAAACTCATGAAGTTGTACTATGCACTTAATCACATTCCGTATTACACGCTTTCTAAATGTATTAGTTAAGAAAAACAGAAGCAATCTGAGAGTCTCCTAATCAGATTATATTAGGGTAAAACTAAATGGAAATTTGTTTGTGTAATCCGAGGGACAAATATAGGTCTGAACTCACAGTATGAACCATCAGAGGAGAGAAGAAGAGAAGAGAAAGAATGGGGACAGAGAAAAAAAAAGGCCAGAGGAGAGA